CATGACAAACTACATGTTCAAATATTCATAACTCTTGGAATCTTGATAGACTCGTTCTCCAATCCTCCAAATATGAAAATCTAGTTAATATTCAGAACAGACAGCATAAACGAAAATCATCCGAAGTCAACGACGATTCCATACCTAAACTCAAACTTCCTTGCATAAGCATGTACTCTAGGGGAAAAAATGACACAATGAGCACAACCCATATCAGATTTAATCAATGCATCCAGCTTAAATTTTAAGGGGAAAGAACCAAAAGCAAAAAATAACATAGAACAAAAGAAAGAAAACCCACTTGCTCCATGGCATTCTGGGCAGCAGTCATTAATTTCGTAGCTAAACCAAGTTTCCTATGAGTCCTCAGAACAGCAAGAGAAGTGATATGGCCATGGCACTCAGAGCTTTCCTCCTCCATCTTAGCCAACACATATCCCACAATTTTCCCATTATAATCTTCAGCGACATAGAGGAGCTGTGGCCAAGAAAGTATGTGGTAGAAGTAGTATTTCATCTGGTAATTCTCTGGTAAACAGAAGAGATTGCAGGCTTGCATTGCCAATAGGTCATCCACTGTTGCCTTGCGAATACAAACCATTGTTAATTCCCTTCGATGATGGATTTTGATTGGATTTCGATGGGATTTTGAAAAGGGTTTCTGGCTTCAACAATTTTCTTGGAATCAATGAATACAAGGGGGTGGAAGAGGGGATGAGCAGAACCAAGTCGCTATAGGAAATAGAGAGTGCTGCTTTGGACGTTGGAAGGTGGCTAGAAAGCCTAAAACTTCGGGTTGGGTTTTTCGTAGAATGGGCTTTCATTGGACAATTTTCAGTTGGGCTGGGTCAGTCATGTTTTGTTTGCTGATTAGTTCGGCCCTCTAAAGAAAATAGAAGGTGCTCATATTGGTGATTATTTTGTAAAAATTTGCACCCCTTTCCATCTCACTATTATTATTATTTTTTTTGTTTTATCCTATACCACGATTTTCTTTCTTTTCATTTTAGGGGAGAGGAAAAGATGGTTGACTACATTAAATGTACTTCATTTTTTTTAGAATATATATAAACAAAAGTCTCATATTTGCTTTATGTGAGTATAAGTAGGGATGCTATCTAACCGAGTCGAGCTCGAGTAGCCCCATACTCAATCTTGAACTCGATCACAATCTGTGTTACTTGAGTTCGACCTCGAGCTCGAACAAGTATATAAATTTGGATTCGAGCTCGACTCGATAAAATTAAATTAAATTCGAGCTCGAGTAAATATCAAGTCCGATCTACTCGAGTTCGAGTTTTGAACTAAACTTATAAATATTTTCTCAAAATATATAATATAAATATAATATGAATATAATATAAATATATAATATAAATATAATATGAAAACTCGATTAAGCTCGTCGAGCACTCGAGTATTTATTTTTGGAGTTCGAACTCGACTCATTAAATGTAACGAGTAGCTCGAACTCGAGCTCGAGCCAAGCTTTTGACCAATCCGCTCGCAAGCTACTCGCGAGCGGCTTGACTTGATTGCACCCCTAAGTATGAGTGTATTTATTTCTTTCTTTTTAAATTTGGGAAACATTCTAATTCTTTATAATGTGCACATTCTAATGCCTACCTTATAATTCAAAATTCCAAGAAAAAAAAAACATGTGAAGTTGGAGGATCAGTGGGAAGTTTAGGCTGAAAACCCTCGAAAATACATATCGATATAGATTTTCCAAGAAGCCATTTCTTTGAAACTTTGATTAACTATTGCTTAACAAAGAATTCTTTCTTAGTAAGATTTTGTGCCCCTTTGAAACAATCTTACAGTTAATACTTGACCCACTTTTTTAGCAGGGGAATTATTAGATTTAAGAACCAAAGACAGGGGAGAGGGATCTGACAATATATACTTAAAAACATATTCTTAATTAATACCAAGCGAGATCAACAAGTATCTCAATTTATGTCATATAGCAATTAAGCGAGCAGCCTTTTTAAGGTTCTTCGAAATTCCATACTTGATCTAACATTACAATTTATCCAAAACATTTAACTAGATATATCAATGGATCAGATCTTATCCAAACCTAATCTAGACCCAGTGTATTTGCGTGGGATTTGGATTTAATTTCTTAAACTCAGACCCAAACCCTGTAAAAGAGTTATGGATTTGGATAGGATTTGGTTTTCTATGATTCATATCCAAATCCAAATTCATACCAAACCCTACTCAGACCCATATATACGCATTAAATCCTTATACTATATAAGATTGAGTTTTGGTCAAAGAATAGGTTGAATTTCAACCGCATAGATAGGGGCATTCTGGGAATGTGAAATATTGTGTATTAGTTTAAAAGCTTTAGGTACAAGTTAAGGAAGCATGTATTTAGGTATGTTTACTGAAATGACCCCATTTAATATATTTAAAGTTGTCATTGATGAGCCATCTGGGTATTGATGGAATGTGTAATTAGTATGCAACTGTTTTTGCATTTTGTACAACCCATATATGTTTGTGTGTTGGTGTAATTACCGAAATATCCTTTAACTACCAATAATTCCCCTTTTCAGCCGCAGATAACCGTTTGAGATGTTGCTTTGTCTAAAACGTTTGAATGACAATCGGATTTAGGAAATGTGCCAACGATTTCTCTATCAATTGTAGGAACCCATTTCTCTATCATTTATAATTTGCATTTATGAGCCACAAACGTTGGTTAGTTTATCCCCTTTCAGTTTCAGGAGTTAAGTTTTCCCTTTTCGCCTTTGGCTACAATGATTTGCCTCATCGTTTTCTCTTCCATCCGAGCTTAACTCTGAAATACCTATTATTTCGTCATTAATTACACCCAATTCAATTGCCGAACCATTGGTATGTTAACGCCTAAACGGTTAATTATCAATTTCTCCCTGTTTGCATTCTAAGATTGGGATAATTCTACTTGGTTTCATACTAATCAGCCCAGAATGCTCTTCAATCCCATCTACTCCTGGTGGTTCAGCGTGGGGTTAGATTTCACCCTTCCAATTTTTCAGTTCTTTCCTTAATTTTGTCGATGTGTTCTTAGTACCTGCAATTAGCGACTCTTATCGCGTTGCCTAGCTACAAGATAGGATTTTTCTCGTCGCCAAACCCCAATTAGTTTGGGTTGGTTATAATCTTATAGGTTTGGAACAACAGCAAGAAAGAGCTCTCAGTGGGGATTCTGGAATAAGGTTGGTTAGTTTTATGTGTTGCTCTGCTTTTCTGCATTTTCAACGACCTTCAATTTGACACAATTTTATTGTAACTTTGTGTGAATTGATTGATTATATCGTTTATCTTTTCGTACTAAATTTTATTTCTTCTCACAATTCAACTTTTCGTACTAAAGTTACAATTTAGTGCTAAATACCTCTCAAATAATAGCACTAAAATTGAGGAATTGAGAGGTATTTGGAGCATAATTAGCACTAAATTGTTTAACTAAATTCAAAGGAAAAAGGAAAAATTTTGAAATTTAGAGAAATTTGGAGTAAAATCTATGGGATGATTTTTTAATCACGTCATGTTTATTCAATTGGAGTTCACCATATCCAACAGAGAAGATATCACTATTATTATACTATTAAAATTAAGGGTGCATTTGATAAAACTGAAGTTTGAAAACTGAAATTTAAACCCATTAAATTATTGAATTGTTAAGTATTAAATCAAATACATTCGAGTGTATGTCATATTCAGTGATAAGTGAATAACTTATTATTTATTTTTGGGGAATTCAGTGCCACTTAATTCTTTCAAATGTTCAATTTTTGGTTAACAAACGTGTCTGAACATGTTAAGATTTGAATTCGTTAAGTTTAAGTGTCAAATTGGGTTATCAAATAGGGCCTAAGTAATAAACAAAGAATATACAGAAACAATCATAGTAGATTTGTCTAGAAAGTATTGAATAACTGTCTAATCAGGAGATCCTTTGTTTTTTTCTTTAATATAAATAAAAAATATGTGGAATAAAATTTATAAATTTGGAACAAATTTTTGAATCTTTTATTACACTCTTCATTTATTAACATCAATACAAAGTAATCCATTGATCCCTCTTTGATAGTCTTTTTTTTCATCTGCCCTAAATTATAGTCTTTTTTTTCATTTGGGCAAAAATTGTTATATAAATGGCCACTCAAGAGACCCTTTATTATTATTATTATTATTATTTGGTCAGGAGTGTAGACAAAATTTGGAGCAGATTTTTTTTTGGTAAGGAATGCCGACGAAATTTGGAGCAGAATTCATACTAAAATGTTAATCTAAATTTATATTTTCCTAATGGGTAAAAAAAAGAGTATCAGTCCAAAACTAGGCACCATGTCTTTTTTTAAAAAAGAATTCATACTAAAATGTTAATCTAAATTTATATTTTCCTAATGGGTAAAAAAAAGAGTATCAGTCCAAAACTAGGCACCATGTCTTTTTTTAAAAAAAAATTATTAGGCTCAGGGCATGGCAAAACAGGAACAAATTATGGCTCATCATGCATTTTTTTTTCTTTTTATTTAGGCTTAGATCATGGAAAAATCGAAATAAACTGTGGCTTGGGGGCATTAAAAAGCCACATGCAGCACAAGGGTGAAACACTAAACGAGAAATGACAAAATACAAAAGAAAGAAGTAGGCAGCAAGGGAAATCTCCTGCCAAAATTACCCCTAAGGTCGCACAAAATCACCAAAGAACCGGCAAAACACCAAGAGGGACGACACTTTACTGTCCCCCTCAGCCTTCTGCGCTTCTAAATAACTAGGAGGTGTACACCGCGCGTACGCGCGGTGTAGAATTCGAAGACTGGCATGCCTAGTTTTGCCCAATAAGCTAATAAGAATCTAGAAAAAAAAAATGAAATCGAAAAGTATAATAAAGGACATAATAGACTATAGATGTAGTAAAGTTATGACCAAAAACAGATAATAAGTAGACTGTCTTTTGACAAAAAAAAAAAAGATAATAAGTAGACTGTAGATCGTCGGTGTAGCAAAGGTACAATTAAAAATAACACAACAAGTAGATTGTCAGTCATTAATCTTGAGATTGTTGATGTTGAGGTTGTCAATATTGAGAGCTTCATCCATAGGCAGTGATTATTTCATGAGCTACATATCTGGTCAGTCTAAATCTAGAAGGAGAAGGCTTGATGTAACACATAACCATATTTCCCTGTAGAGTAGTCAGGAGATGTTGAGTTAAATCTACATTTTGGTGGAGATAAAAAAAGAAAGTACTATAAGCTGTTGAAGAAATAGAAGGAAACAGTTATTACATAAAAAGAAATGATAATCACTTCTGTCTGTAAATAGTAGAGCTTTAGTGGCCTCCAAATAGCCTTGATCAGCTTTATCCCTCTATAATCACCACTCTCATATGGCTTCTGAATCAGTTTTTGCCACCTATAACAAGCAGTAAACAAATTTCAGCAAATGGGAAGAGCGAAGGAACAAGCTCATTTGCGTTATAATGTTGATTAAAAAAATAACAATAAACAAAAAAAAAAAGATTTGGCCATCTTTAACTCTGTGAACAATTTTTCTAGGAAATGTAACGCAAAAACTGAATAGTAACTGCTTGTTTTTAAATCATCTCGAGCATCAGCCATAAAATTGTCAAAAAAAAAAATAATAAGCTCACCAAGCCTAGTTACACCATGGTTCAACATGCAAGAAGTAAAGTAGGTTATAAAGGTCTTCCAACTTGTTCTGCAGCAATTGATAATGACCTTAATTGATACATGCTAGACAATAGCCAGTGGTTTAATAACAATCAGGAAAAACATTACTCCGGCACTTGTTCAACTAATGCCAGAATTCTTTGCTGCTGCCATACCTGAAGAGGGGTACCAGTAAGACACCACATGCAATAGGATGACAATTTGAAGGCAGCCTGGGCACCTAGAGTTTTATAGGACTTGATGGTATGAGCTTCATCCAAAACCACTCTGTACCAGTCAACTCTGTGGAAAATGCTCTTCTCCCCATCCTGTGTTGAACATATAAAATAGTAATCATTAAAAATGTTTCAACAGGGGAAAAGAACAAGCAGCATTAGCCATTGGATTTAAGTGGTGGAAACTTAAAAAAATGGAAATGGCCAGCTTTTCATTCTTATAAGCTACAAGTAAATGCATTTTGGTGGTGGAAAGTAACAAAAAATGGAAATAGCTAGCTTATATTCTTACAAGCAGCCGTTAAGACACTGTGTGTGGTCAAGATCACATTAGGTTCAGCAATCACTCTAGGGTCACTGCTCCGATCCCCACCAAAAAAGACAGAAACGGAGATGCTATCTGGCTTTGAGTGTGTTTCAAGTTCATCCTGTTCATTCAGTAAATTCTTATTCACAGAAGACGACAGTATATCCTTGTGCCTATCCATTAACTAACATACGATCAGAAAATCAGTAATGCAGTTTCAGAACAATGTAGCTAAACCTATTCAGAATGCATACAAACTCAAAAAACTTTGTTATTCTGGCTGAATCAAATATATTATAGGGACTCATCTTCCACTGGCCAAGCAACGCCATAGGACAAATAATGAGGGTGCTGCCTTTCACTTTTCTAAAAGGTTTGAGATCAGATTCTTTTTTCTTTTTCTTGATGTACTCTGTATCACCCTCACTTTTGGCAATTGATTCTTAATCCTCAGGGTACCTCTGCCTTGCCTTGCAAGAATCAGAGCAATAGTCATCACAGTTTTCCCAAGCCCCATTGCATCTGCCAAGATCCGCAGAATATTCAGCTTAGAATATATAATAATTAACATTGATACTCAAATGGACAGTCAGTAACAGTAGCAAGAGAAACTTGCCCCTCCTCTTGCCGTCTGTGTTGCTATTGGAAATTGTGTTGCAGCTTCCCAAGAGAAAATGTTAACATATATTGTGGGAGCCCTCCTGAAACAAATGATCAAATAGTAGCATAATCAAGCTTAAGGCAGTTAATGCTCAAGGATTTTATAAGCAGCTGCTCTTTTTTTTAAATATTTCAAGGACAGAAATACATATTCATCACATATACGATACTCCAACAAGGATGAAACGCTTTTGCCCCCTTTCAGCATAACCTACATATCAACTAACCTGACTGCGTCGTTCTTGTCGGCATAACATTTGTATGATCCTTCATTCAAGTTGCAAAACCAACAGGAATATCAGATGATTTGCTGGTCCCATCTTTGTTAGTCGACACATCATTTATTATTTGAGAATGAACCACCATATTTTTCTGAATCAATGGGATATCTGCAATGGCAAATCCTAATAAGGTGCCCAAAAGACACAACATTATCTTAGAAGTGGAGAAGAATTTTTTTTAAGTACCGGAGATTGAACAAGAAAAGCAAGCAAAATAATTGGTACATATAATAATATTTGTGTCTTGAGAAGTACTAGAAGACTGGAGATTCAATGTAGTAGAAGAATAAATACAGTCATTTGACGAGCAATTCAAAAATGGACTCTGCAAAGAACCAAGAATTTTAGAATTCAAGTTCCGCGTAGGTTCAAAGATGTTAGCTGTATTTTAACATCAAGCACCACAGGTTTGTTCATTGTCTTAAGAGATCGCAATGTTAACTTCTGAAACAGGAGACCATGTCTTAGACAATGCATTTCCATGCCTCCGCTTACAAGGCTGGTCATTAGGTAAGGAATCAAAAGATAGATGTCATTTTTTTTTCCTTTTTCTTCCTTTTTCCAGCATTAGTTTCTATCTGACATTTCTAACGCTGAGCTCTGTCATTGAATGGAGTTGCTGCAACGTGCATAAATAGACAGCCTTATTTTATTAAGAATAGTTTATGAAAGACAACGATACTAAAGGCTGAATAAGAAAAGCTAGAAGAATGATTTGTTGGATGCAGTAATATCTCTACCTCGCGGAATGCTGAAAGATCAGGGATTCAATGCAATAGAAGAGGAAACACAGTCTCTGGACAAACGATTTAAAGACGGAGTGTTCAAAGAGTTAAGGATTCCAGAGTTTGAGTCCTTTAAAGATTGAAGTATGTTATTTGGTTGACATTTTGAGAATCCCAAGTTTGTTCGTTCTCATTGAAGACTGTAATGTTATCTAAAAGGTCAGGCAATCCTTTAGGTAAGACTTCTTTATGACTGTGCTAAGAAGGCTGATCATTAATAGAAGGCCAAACGTTCGGCCAAAGATGAGAAGACAGTTTTTTTTCCAACACTAGATTCTGGTTGACCTTTTGTAACCTGAACTATGTCATTCAATGGAGCTGCTGTAATGTGCAAAAATAGATGGCTTCAATCGTAAATGGCACAGAAATGTGAAGCCATTCAAAGATAATGATTTGACACAAGGCTAAATAAACTAACAGATACAGAATAGACGAGTAAAATACTACAACGGCACATATACCTCGAGGAGTAAAACCATAGCCTTCAAGAGTAGCTTGCTATCGCCCTCAAGAGTAGAACCAGGAAAACAAACACCAGCTTCTATGCAACCAAACGGTACCCTATGAACATAAGAGCGTGAGGATTTCTCCCTTTTTTTCCAAAAGCCTGGCTTCACGCCTCCGACATGAAAGCACAGCCTTCTCACTCTGTGACATTTCAACATACCATTTTTGACGAATAGTATTTCTATCCACCTGACTTAAATGACTAAGAACCATCAGTCCAAAAAAAAAAAAAAATCAGCCAATGGCAATTTACAATAGCCACCAAAAACTATAGTCGAATGATTGCAAAGAAGAACAAAAACAACATTTACGAACTGCTATAAAGAACATAAGATATATGATACAATGAAATAAAAAACATGCATGCATACCAGCCTATTGCCAAAAAGTAAGAAGCAAAAAGAACAGAGCATAAATTTTTTAAACCATGCATGGCAACTCTTACATGCGAGTTAACAACTATTACGCAGAGGTGATACTCATGCATGAACTAAAAACGGAAAAGCAAAAGTGGCAACTAAATAAAGAATGTACGACAAAAAGAAAAAGCAAACAAGACAAATAAACAAGCATCTGACCTGCAACAGAATTCCTGTCCCAACAAATGATAAAGGATTAGCTTCAAAGAAGGCTCCTTGCAAGAATCAAAAGGCCAGCGAATTCTACAAAGAAAGGCATACCATACGGATGTAAAACAGGCAATCACAAGAATAGAAAGAAAAACTGAAAACAGAAAGAAAAAGGCAGGAAGTTTAAAATGAACTCGCCACAACGGCAAAAGCATATACCAACATCAGTTATAAAAAAACGAGGAAAAAACTTGAAGTCAGTTCATAAAAAAGACAACGTTACAAAAGCACTTAGATAACAATAGTCCAAAACACATAAATCTGTAGCAAGAAACTCACCAAGGCAATTTTCCTAAAAACTCATCCAAGCTGTTTTTGTCCCAAAAAACTGCAAAAATCTCTTCTAAACTTGAAAATCAAGAAGGCTACCGATAAATAAAAATAGTTCAAGCAAAAAAACAACAATAGGCTATTGATTTAAAAAATCATTGATAAAAACTATTAAACATAACCTCAAACCTGAAAAAGATGCCTCCTTTATCATTGATCCCTTGCTCTATTGGGAAAAAACAGAAAAACCCACAACACGGTTTCTTCAGAAAACAAAAAAAAAAAGTACAAAAGAACTCGGGCATAAGAAAGTGGAGGAATTAGAAGAATCAAAACTTTTAAGCATACAGAATGTACTTTAGAAAAGGAAACAAAAGACTTGCAAGATGTCATCAGGTTGCCGGAAGTAATTTCCAATTTGTCACCTGCAATATCAGAAATATGTAAATTAGACAACTACAACCCATTTAAAAAAAAAAGAAAAAAATGAGGGCTAGAGAAGTTCTGCAAAGGAAGAAACAAGAACCTTTAAAAGTATATACATAAACCATCTTTTTTGGCTTATCATTATTCTCCATCAGAAGACGAAGACAAAGAAAAGAGAAAGAGAAGAAGGGGGCTTTCTCGTCGGAGAAGAAGAAACGAAGAGAAAGAGAGAGAGAGAGAGAGAGAGAGAGAGACGATGAACAAAGAGGGAGGGATAAATGATGGTTCTGATCCAGTAGGTGTGACCAAAAAAGCTGACATTAGGTAAGGTGGGAAAGAGACATAGGCCCAACCGCCCAACCACAGTGTTTGAAAAAGAAAAAGGACTATTACTACTATTATCACTCTCTTTAGTGGGTTGGATGCAAGCAAAAAGACTCGGTGGCTCACAAACGGAATTTACATCCCAATTTCCAACCATCAAGTCACGTGAGCAGCTGGAGGACGACAACATTTCAGCAAATCATGAACTGACACGTCACCAAAACCACGCACCCTTGGAGACTTTCCTAAGCACTTAGTCTACCTTAGGTTGATGAATATATGCAAATAGAAAGTTTATGTAAAAAAAAAAATTTTGTAGAAATGATGAGTACTTGGATAGCAGAAACATAATATTGAAGAACAAACTCCGCGTCCTACGCAACATACACATGACTAATTAAAAAAGTGTCAAAGGACTCCAAAACTATGAAATCAATCGACATCTCCGTTCACTCGATCAAGACTATCCTTTGAGAGATTCCCATTTGACATCTGCCCGAACGCACCAAGTATTACGGCAGAGATAGAATTTGCATGTCCCACATACTAGTAAACAGTCATCATTAACTTCACATCTTGGAAGAGGAGGTTTTCCCTCTACTCTAATCACCTCATTTGATAGTAGGATCCCAGAAGCAAGAATTGCAAGAATTAAGAAAGAAATGAGCCGCATTGAAGATCCCTTCATGTATTCCGATTTTTGAAGGATGTAGTAAACGAAGATAATATGAAGCATGTTATATATATATATATATAAGGGTTAATCACGTTTTATTCCCTTAAAGAATATCTTATTTTTCAATTTATCCCTTAACCTTTAATTTTGGTCACTTAACTCCCTTTAGGATAAAATTGCCCTTGCATTATTTTAACTTTTCATTTATCTTGTTTTCCTTTCTTTTATTTCTTTTTTCCTTTCTTCTTTATTTAATTCTTCCTCTTTTCCACAAAAATCTTCACCTTAATGATTGAAATTAAAAAAGAGGAATTGCAGAGATCTATCTTCTCCTTAAATGATTAAAATAATATTTAAATTACTTTCCTAAAATACAATTTTTTAGCCTTTCAATTCTTATAATTTTGGATTTTCCTCTTTCCTTTCTAGTTTGTCATTTTATTCTCAAGAAAATATCATAAGATGAAATTGTTTTTGTTTCTTTTATTTCTTTTTCTCTTTCTGCTCTCTTTCATCCTTCCCAATAGAAATTCCATTTCAACGAAAATTTTTGTTTTGAGTTTGTAATTGCATATTTCTGGGTGAAGGTTTAAAAGACATCAAAAACTAATTTTGATTTTTTGTATGACGCCATGTGTCACAAATTTCAATTGATGATTATTAATCAGGTCACAATTTCATCTTAAGATATTTTTTTGGGAATAAAATGAGAAACTAGAAAGGAAAGAGGA